CACTGGTGCCAAACTAGAGAATTTGCTGAACCACGGGAGATCAACATTGTCTAGCAGCATTACCAACACTTCCACTGCTGACTGGGCTCTGAGAAGACATTTAGGGATAAATTAGAGCTAAATAACAGCACAGAACACTGAGAGCCGGGACTGGTGACTAAACAAACTTCAGGGGACTATGGGAAACTTGGCCACACCGATGATAAGCAGACTTCTGGCTAACTAAAATCATGCCGGACCATAGATGTTGTCGGACCAGAAAGTGCCAGACTAGAGAGATTCAACCTGCACTATACACTGGTGTGCAAGTACAAGGTTTATATTCCAATTAACTTATTTTATACTTATATGGCAGAATGAGAAAGGTAGCAATTTGTCAGTAGCAGTATGTTGGGACACTTTTGTATTTTTCTGTCTGATTTTTATAAGAAAGTCCTTTTTAAGTGAAGCGAAACTTGGGGTACACAAGACAAATCTGACTTCTGAAAGGGGGACAGTGGTCTGGAAAGGGTGAGAACTAAAACACAGAAGGCCCAAACCTCAGCTGGTATAAATCACTTTAGCTCCACTGATGTTAATTTACACCAGCTGAGGATCTGAACCAGTGAGTTTAGAGGACTCATCCAAAGCACATCAGAGCCAGGGAAAGAACCCAGTGCTCTTAATTCCCAGCCCTTTAGGTAACCACTAGACTATGTTGCTTTACACAAAGCCTGAACACAGCTTGACAAACAACAATCCACAGATACAGCAATCACCAGGGCATCAGCTAAGCTACAGAAACAAGGCTAATAAAAGTAGCGGCTTTTGCTCTCAAATACAGTGGCCTCTGCCCAATGAGCTACCGCCAAAGAGCTGCTAAGCTGGTAAGTTTATAATAGTCCAGCTCTTCGGGGATGCCCTCCTGGGGGCAGGAGGGGTCATACCCTCCATGGGGAGACACACCCACACTTGCTCTCAGAGTGCACGTATGTATTCACAGGGCTTGACCCTCCTGCCGTTCGTGCTGCCACGGATATACGTCCGATTTTGATGGGCTAGCTCTGTTAGAGCCAGCACAGGGATGTCTACTAAAGGGAGAGATGTTTAGATGAGTTTATTCAAGTAAATGTGTAACTGCTGAAAATTTGGGGAGTGCACGTGGGGAGTGCTTTTAAGCCGGCTCCCCATGAGCACTGGCTCCTGCCTGCTCCCCCTCCAGTGCCGCTGCCTCTGTATCAGAGGCAGCATCTTGTGTGTGTGTGGGGGGGGAGGCGGGAGGTAGGTCCTGCGTGTAACTGTGCACATTAAAGTCCCTAAACCAGCTTGCGGCTTTTCTCCCTGAAACACAGGAATTGCCACCACGCTGGATCCAACTCTCGGTCCGTCTAGTCCAGTGTCCTGTCTCCAGCAGTGATCAGCTGCTGCAGAGGGGAGCTCAGGTTGGCACTTTATAGAATAACTTGCCCCCGGGAAAGTTTCTTCCTGATTTTGTAAGCAAGTAGCTTTTAAGTGAAGTGACACTTGGGGAATGCAAGTCAAATCAGGTTGGCTCAAGCCCTTAATTTGCTCCACAGGACACTGAGTGAAAGCTCCCAGAAATAACAGGGCTGTGAGTAAGATGTAGTACTGAGAACTAGCACTCCTGGGTTCCTTCCCCAGCCTGGCTAGTTACTCAGGAGAAGTTAGAACCTCTCAGACCTCAGTTTCCTTGCCTGTAAAATAAGCATAGTACGAACGTGTCAAGTCTGCTGCACGCTACGGCTACTGATGGCAAGAGAAGCCATCCACAGAAACCATGAGGGCATAGAGCTCTCCCCCAGAAGCACAGCTTACCTGGCCTAGAACGGGGCAGAAAATAATGTTTGATGGTGGGGACACGCCAAGGCTACGTCTAGACTGGCATGATTTTCCACAAATGTTTTTAACGGAAAAGTTTTCCGTTAGAAGCATTTGCGGAAAAGAGCGTCTAGATTGGCACGGACGCTTTTCTGCAAAAGCACTTTTTGTGGAAAAGCGTCCGTGCCAATCTCGACGCGCTTTTCCGCAAAAAAGCCCTGATTGCCATTTTCACGATCGGGGCTTTTTTGTGCAAAACAAATCTGAGCTGTCTACACTGGCCCTTTGGCGCAAAAGCTTGGCGCAAAAGGACTTTTGCCCGAACGGGAGCAGCATAGCATTTCCGCAAGAAGCACTGATTTCAGAGAGTAGGAAGTCAGTATTCTTGTGGAAATTCAAGCGGCCAGTGTAGTCAGCTGGCAAGTTTTTGCGGAAAAGCAGCCACTTTTCCGGAAAAACTGGTCAGTCTAGACACATCCCAAGATTTTGGCAAGTGGTCAAGGGCTACACATTTCTATGAAGGGGTACAGGGTCTGGAATGGAGGTTGGGTGCAGAAGGAAGCTTAGAATAGAGGACTGGGTTGCAGGAGACGGTGTGGGGTCTGAGAGGGAGTTTGGGTGAAGGAGGGGGTTGTGACCTGGGGCAGTGGCTTGGGGTATAGGGTCCGGGGGGGTGGGGAGGATTCTGGCCTGGGTATGACGGTAGGAGGGAGGGTGCAGCGTCTGGGAGGGAGTTATGACTTGGGGGAGATGGGGAGCGGGGATGCAGAGGGTTAGAATGGTGACCTGGGGCAGCGAGTTGGGAGGAAGGAGGGGATGAGGTGGCAGAGGGAGGCACAGGCCAAGAGGTGTTTACCTAAGTGGCTCCCAGCCAGCAGCCCTGCAGGACCGAGGCAGGCTCCCTGCCTGCCACAGCCCCCGGGCTGCTCAAAATGGCTGTCTGTTTCCTGTGATTCTCTGCTTTGGGTGCTGGAGGGAGGCTTTATGCAGTACCCCCGCCCCCAGAAAAATCTCTAAGGACCCATTGGTCAGTTTCTGTGAAACCTCCCCCTCCCCTTGGCACCTGGAGCAGAGAGCAACAGTTAGCGGCCAGCTGCTTAAAGCGGCATGGGGCTCCTTTGAAGCAGTTGGCAGCTCTCTGCCTGACGGTCTCGGCAGGGTGGCCCACGGGCTGGACCCAACTCGTGGGCTATATCTTGCTCCCCCACCGTTGGCCTAGAAGGAGATTGTTGGCTACTCAAATTATATTCAGAGAGGGCAGTGAAGAGCACTCACACGAGTAACGGGCAAAATCCACGTGCCGCAGAAAACCAAAGTTTGCATTTTTAGAGACGCTGGGGTGGGACGAGCTGTCAGCCCCGGGTTGTCAGCCCCAGGCGGCAGGCTCCTGCTGTTGGATTTCATTTTAATCACGGAACAATGAGGATTCTTATGGGTTGTTTTTAAAATTAGAGGGGCAGGCTCCATCACGACAAACTAGGATCCCTGGTGATGACTTGCTGGTTCATTTGGTATTATCTCCTTCCCAGGGGCCTTTTGAAAGGCTGAGGTAGTGTTTGTGAAGCATAGGGCAAGGCCCGGATGACAGAAAGATGCTCTGGGTTGCAAGAAATGGAAGAGATTAGCACAAAAGGGTTATGATGCAAAAGGGCTAGTGGTGGAACCTGTGAGTGTGCTAATTATAGACTGGAAATCCTAGACAGAAAGCAAGTGACTCGCCATGATCAGGGCGTAGGGGACGGGAGCTTTTTAGGGGTGGAAGCGTCCGCAGAATTTCTTCCCTTACCTCACATTTAAAAGGCTTTTCCCCCGAGTGCTGAAGAGAATGGACTTTCAGGGACATGCTCCGTTTGAACGACTTCCCACACGTCTCGCACGTGAACGGCATATCCTTGGTGTGCGCTGCAAATGAAGACAAAAAAAGGCAGTAAGACTCGACAGAGGAAGTGATGGCACGTGCCATAACTGCAAGAACGCCTCTGGGCTCCCTCCGGACGGAGCCCATCTCTGGCATGCCGAAGCCCGCGGATCCAGACGTCACACGTCAGGGCGCTGCAAGGCGAATGAACGAAAGGCGGTGCTCCTTAACGTCGGTGTTAGATTAATGGCTGAGTGTGGGAAAGACGGGGCAAATGGGATGGAGTGATTTTAAAAAGCAGCGACTACTTTTCCGAAATAACACCAACACCTTCTGCCACTCATGGGCTGCGCTCTCCAGCCGCCACGGCAGTCCCTGACCTTTTGTATTTATCACCCTCTCTTTTAATATTTATAGAACACAAAAAAAATGTGCTGTCTCCTAGTTACTGCTCTTTATTAAAGAGACACAAAATAACAGTTGGTGTCCTTGCTGTCTGCCAATGAAATCCAGGGCAAACTGGCTCAGCAAAGAGAGGTTTTTTTCCTAACCACCAGCCCTGAAAAAACAGCCTGGAATCAGAGAGTCCAGTTTATAGAATCACAGAATCCGAGGGCTGGAAGAGACCTCAGGAGTCGTCCAGTTCAACCCCCTGCTAAAAGCAGGACCAACCCCAATTCAATCACCCCAGCCAGGGCTTTGTCAAGCTGGGCCTTAAAACCCTCTAACTGTGGAGATTCCACCGTCTCCCTAGGTAACTCATTCCAGTGCTTCCCCACCCTCCTAGGGAAATAGTTCATTGCTCCTCGTTTTGTCATCTGCCCCCACTGAGAACTGCCTCTCTCCATCCTCTTTGGAAACCCCCTTCAGGGAGTTGAAGGCTGCTCTCAAATCCCCCCTCACTCTTCTCTTCTGCAGACTAAATAATCCCAAATCCCTCAGCCTCTCCTTGTAACCCATCTGCTCCAGCCCCCTCATCATTTCTGTTGCCCTCTGATGGACACTCTGCAGTTGAATAGTGATAGAGATGCAGTAATGTTAGTCTGGTCTAGCTGAAACAAAAGACAGGACTATGAAGCACTTTAAAGACTAACAAGATGGTTTATTAGGGGATGAGCTTTCGTGGGCCAGACCTACTTCCTCAGATCAGTTTGTAACACTTTAAAGACTAACAAGATGGTTTATTAGGGGATGAGCTTTCGTGGGCCAGACCTACTTCCTCAGATCAGTTTGTAAAAGAAAATGGGCACGACCATATATACCAAAGTGATACAATCAAAAAAAAAGTGAACACATATAAAATTGACAAATCAGATTTTAGAACAGGGGAAGGTTAGTGTCTGTGAGGTAATGATATTAGGGGTGATAATTGGGGAAGCTATCTTTGTAACGGGTGAGATAATTAGCATCTTTGTTAAGACTCATACATAAAGGCTACGTCTACACTGGCCCCTTCTTCGGAAGAGGCATGCTAATTTCGAACTTTGGAATAGGGAAATCTGCGGGGGGATTTAAATATCCCCCGCGGGATTTAAATAAACATGGCTGTCGCTTTTTTTCCGGCTTGGGGAAAAGCCGGAAAAGAGTGTCCAGACTGGCGCGATCCTCCGGAATAAAGCCCTTTTCCGGAGGATCTCTTATTCCTACTTTAACCAGACTGACCATTCTCTCAATGACCTTAAAACATGCATATTGCTTCAAAGTGATTTTAACTCCAGACTTCAAAGGGAAGCCTCAGAACTGTCATTCATGCTTAAATTTGACACTTTATGTATGGGTCTTAACAAAGATGCTAATTATCTCACCCGTTACAAAGATAGCTTCCCCAATTATCACCCCTAATATCATTACCTCACAGACACTAACCTTCCCCTGTTCTAAAATCTGATTTGTCAATTTTATATGTGTTCACTTTTTTTTTGATTGTATCACTTTGGTATATATGGTCGTGCCAATTTTCTTCCACAAATTGATCCGAGGAAGTGGGTCTGGCCCACGAAAGCTCATCCCCTAATAAACCATCTTGTTAGTCTTTAAAGTGCTGCATAGTCCTGTCTTTTGATTCTCCAGTTGGGCTCTTTACTTCTTATGCATATAATTAGCAGGCCAAATGTTGCCAGTTCTTACTCCTTTCAAAGCCCAATGTTCTCAGTGATTGACGAGCAGCCTTTGACCATGTAACTTAATTAACAGTCCCAATGATCAAGCAAAAAGAGGAAGAGACTCTAGCCCACTCTCCCACAGCTGTGTTGACTCTGCAGGGCTAACAGGCACTGAAAACTCATTCTGCCTCAATTTACTCTGACTCAGATGCATTGAGAAGGGTTGTTTTGACACAGTCACTTTTCTGAGCAGACCCGCCACTTAAGCTTTGCCATAAGCCACCTGCGACCTGGGAGAGATACACACCCAGGGGGGTAAGGAGAAGATTGTGTTTTATGTTTAAACCATGAAAACTGAAAAAGCCATTTTTCTGAGATGGGCTGAACAGTAACAAGCTGCAGATTATTCATAGCACTTTGCGCCAATGCAGGCAACGTGTATGTGCGTATTCTTGGCTTGTTGAGTTGGTTTCCTGCGGAATATGAAATCACCCGAGGATGATTTATGCACAATCTCAAGGCTGGCCTTGCAGATGTTCATCCTCACCTCCTGAGGCACTACAAGAGTAACTGTTTTTACCCATGTTCTGGAGGCTGGGAGGCAAAGCAGAACTTCTGATATAAAAGATTGAAGTTCAAGGCTTCCTTTTGATGCAGCTAAAAGGACAGGATCTTTGGCCTAGGGAAGCCCCAAACCTACCTCCCCTTGCATGTGGAACATGGGCAATTCCTGGTGTGTTTGGAGAGTGTTTCAATCCTTTTATTGTTCTGCGTATGTTTTCTTGGTCATGCTTTTGCCCTGAGAATCACTGTACTTTAGTTTAGTTAAAAAAAACCAACACAACAAACACACACAAACACACCAACAAATGCTGTCATTGTGTTCAGAAAGAAGCAAAAGAGCAGGGCGGTAGGTGTTTTCAAATCCACTGGAGATCTGATAGTATATGGCAGAGCCTGTGAAGCCATAAACCTCCGGGCAGAAGAGAATGGGGCAAAGCAGAAGAGAATGGAACAGGCTATGGCTGGAGGCCAGACACCAGAAATGCATCTCAGAGGGATGATACAGATGCAATGATCCTGAAAGTTTGACAACCTGCATTCAAATACTACGTGAATTAGGGGCAACTGGAGTGGTCAGCTGCCATGTGCCAATGGTAAAGATTCACTCCCCGAAAAATCACAGAGGGTATCCTCTAGGAACCCATTTTGAAGCACTTGAAAGAGAAGAAAGTGAACAGGAATTATCAACATTAAGCACTTGAAAGAGAAGAAAGTGATCAGGAATTATCAACATTGATTTGCCAAGGGCAAGCCATGCCTGACCAATCTGATTGCCTTCTGTGACGAGGTAACTGGCTCTGTGGACATGGGGAAGTCAGTGGATGTGAAATATCTTGACTTTAGCAAAGCTTTTCATATGGTCTCCCACATAATTCTTGCCAGCAAGTTAAGCAAGTATGGATTGGATAAATGCACTGTAAGGTGGCCGAAAGCTTGCTAGATTGTCGGGTTCAACAGGTAGTGACCAATGACTCAATGTCTGGTTGGTGGTCGGTTTCTAGCGGAGTGCCCCAAGGATCGGTTTTAGGGCCGGTTTTGTTCAACATCTTTATTAATGACCTGGATGAGGGGATGGATTGCACCCTCAGCAAGTTTGCAGATGACACTAAGCTAGGGGGAGAAGTAGACAAATTGGAGGGTAGGGACAGGATCCAGAGTGATCTAGACAAATTGGAGGATTGGGCCAGAAGAAATCTCATGGGATTCAACAAGGAGAAGTGCAGAGTCCTCCACTTGAGATGGAAGGATCCCAAGCAGTGTTACAGGCTGGGGACCGAATGGTTAAGTAGCAGTTCATCAGAAAAGGACCTAGGGATTACAGTGGATGAGAAGCTGGATATGAGTCAATATGCCATTAGCCAAGAAGGCTAACAGCATATTAGGGTGCATTAGGAGGAGCATTGCCAGCAGATCTAGAGAAGAGATTATTCCCCTTTATTCAGCACTGGTGTGGCCACATCTGGAGTATTGCATCCAATTCTGGGGCCCACATTACAGAAAGGATGTGGACGCATTAGAGAGGGTCCAGTGGAGGGCAACAAAAATGATTAGGGGACTGGAGCACATGACTTCATGACTTACGAGGAGAGGCTGAGGGATGTGGGCTTGTTTAGTCTGCAGAAAGAAGAGTGAGGCGGGGGTTGATAGCAGCCTTCAACTTCCTGGAGGGAGGTTCCAAAGAGGATGGAGAGAGGCTGTTCTTAGTAGTGATGGATGGCAGATCAAGGAGCAATGGTCTCAAGTTACAGTGCGGGAGGTTTAGGCTGGATATTAGAAAAAACTATTTCTCTAGGAGGGGGCTGAAGCACTGGAATGGGTTACCTAGGGAGGTGGTGGAATCCTGGCTTGACGAAGTCCTGGCTGGGATGGTTTAGTTGGGATTGGTCCAGCAGGGGTTTGTTCTTGACTCCTGAGGTCTCTTCCAGCCCTAGGATTCTAAGATTTTATGCTAACACTAAACTAGGAAATGTATTAGTACAAGGAAAGCAGCATTGTCTCTGAAGCGCCCATCTTCCATCTCCTCCATAGACTAGTTCCAGAGAACACACACGTTTCATTTAGGACAGCGTGAAAATTTCTGACCAATTTCCCCCCGCACCCCAGCAAAAAAAAATGCAGACTTGGCAACACCCAAATGTTTCACAAATTCACAAGTCTGCTTCCCTGAATGACTCACGTTAAAAGAATTCAGAAAAATTAAAACATTTCACGTATACATTTTTTCAACAAACCACAATTTTTTGGATTGAAACTAATTTTATTTAAAATGTCAAAAAACTTTTAAAATGATCAGAATTGAAAAGATTTGATTTTGTCTAACAAAACATTTGATTCAACTGGAAACTGCCAACTAACTGAAAAAACCAGTTATTTGCCCAGTTCTAATTTCAGTGCTTTAAGAGATACGTGGGAAACTTCTTCAGAGCAGTCTAGGGGTAAACTGCATCTCTATTAAGTGTGATTTCCCCTCCCCCGCTAACCCCAGCACAAACACCCATACACTCACCAACCATGTGTTTCCGCACGTGCGCCATGGTGTAGAATTTCTTCTCGCAAATTTCACAAGAGAACTTCTTTTCCGCGTAGCCATGGACGATTTTATTGTGTTCGTGGAGAGACCAGAGCTTCTTAAATGCTTTCCCGCATGTCACACACTGCAAGGAGAGAGAGCACTAAGATGGGGCTGAAATATGCAGGAGGGGGAAACAGTCAGAAAAGGGCAATGAAAATGATGAGGGGTTTGAAACAGGTCCCATATGAAGAGAGATTAAAAAGACGTAAACTTTGCAGCTTAGAAAAAGAGGAGACTAAGCGGGTATAGAATAAAGGTCTGTAAAATCACTACTGGTGTGGACAAAGTGAATAAGGAAAAGTTATTTACTTATTCCCACAATATAGGAACTAGGATTTAAACCAAACTAAAGGAAGTTTTTCTTCATGCAACGCACAGTCAACCTGTAGAACCCCTTGCTAGGGGACATGGTAAAGACCAGGACTTTAACAGGGTTCAAAAAAGAGCTGGATAGATTCATGGAGGTTAGGTCCATCAACGGCTATTAGCCAGCATGGGTAGTAATGGTGTCCCTAGCCTCTGTTTGTCTGGAGATGGATGACAGGAGAGGCATCATGTGATGATTTCCTGTTCTGTTTACTCCCTCTGGGGCACCTGGCTTTGGGCACTGTGGGCAGACAGGAAACTGGGCTGGATGGATCTTTGGTCTGACCCAGTCTGGTCGTTCTTATGTGTCCATCTTACAAAATTCAACATCACATCATGGGACAAACTGTTGCCTTACAGTGGGTGGGGGCAGAATTCTTCCATTCTGTGCCCTGCTAACCATCACAGCTCTCAAATGCAGCATGATACAAGGTCAGCTGTGCCACGAAAGAGAAGGAGAGCAGGCACAGAAGAGCAACACCTCATCCCAGCCCTTTTGCACCAGCCTACGCAACTGGCCAGCCACATTTTTCTAGCAGAGCAGGTCAGGAAAAGGGATCACCCTGCGCCTTGACATTGACGACAAAAATAGTTTCTTGAAGTTTTCTCCCGGAACATTGCGACCTTTAACCCAAAAAGGATTCGTTCCGCTTTGGAGGAATATCCAATCTGAGCTCTTGCTACATTTCAAAAGCAGAAGTCCAGTGGGAGCAGGGAGTGAGTGGGGGACTCAAGCGATCCCCTGCTGGCCCCATGCTCCCTACTTTTGAAATGTACAAATGTAGAAGAGCCTAACCTTAAGCGCCCGCTCTTGTATGTTCCAAAAGCTGGGAGCGAAGGGCCAGTGGGGGACTGCTTGAGCTTCCGTCTTTGAAACGTACCAAGAGCCGGCAGGGCTCTTGCTACATTAGAAAGGCGGAGGTGCCCTTATCAACTAATTAAATAGGTGATGCAAATTGCATCAGCTATTCGGTTAGTTAATGAATCTAAATTTAACATCCTTAATCTGACCAGGAGACCAGGCTGAACCCCCTGCTCGTGTAAAAACAGCCATGGGATGGTTAGCGCTCCCTCAGGCACTGTTTTGTGTCACATGCAGACGGGGGGCCTTCTCAGCACACTGCCCCCTACTGCCAGCCTGGGGCGCTGGCTCAGAACCAGCCTCCGAGGGAAAAGAGCCCCACTGGCGTAGCGTAGGGAGGAGTTATAGTAAGATGTATGTGGGTACACGTACTTGACTGGAGGGCGATATCGGGGCATCTATGGATTGGTTCCCAACATAGAAGAAGAGGCAAATCTTGCGGTTAGGTACCAGGAAACATGCTCTCTTCAGTTTAGGGATGTTAAATATCGAGTAATTGACCAATCGAACAGTCGATGCATTTTGCATGGAGTATTTTATTAGTCAATAGGGCGCCTCCGCCTTTGAAGTGTAGCAACAACCCTAGGGACTGCTAAGGAATCGCTGACTTGGGATGGTGTCATATCCCCGTGTCCTAAACACGTCTTTACCGGGAAGGAATTAGGCTGTGTCTAGACTGGCATGATTTTGCGCAAATACTTTTAACGGAAAAGTTCTTCCGTTAAAAGTATTTGCGCAAGAGAGAGTCTATACTGGCATGTGCCTTTGCGCAAAAGATTTGCTTTTGCGCAAAAGCATCCGTGCCCAGTGTAGACACTCTCTTGCACAAGAAAGATCTGATGGCCATTTTAGCCATCGGGCTTTCTTGCGCAAGAAATTAACCTGTCTGTCTACACTGGCCTCTTGCCCAAGAGGGCTTATCCCTGAGCGGGAGCGTCGGAGTATTTGCGCAAGAACCACTGATTTTGTACATCACAAACCCCCCCCCAGCCAGTATAGATGCAGCCCTGGAGACAGAAGAGAGCTGCTTGCTAGAATCGGCAGTAAAGCACATGGCATGTCCCTTCACTGTACTTACCCAGCAGCAATGAGACCCGAGGACACAGCTCCCCTTCACATTTCATAGGCAGCGTTAACGTTCATTGGCCTCCCCAGAGCCTCTCCTTGGGCTAATTCCCACCCCATCCCTACGTTTGGACCGGTCCCATTTGGATTCCAGGCCCATTTAAACAAGCACAGCTCAAAGCAGGGACAGAGCTGCAGGGATTAACGGCGCTTTGTTTCTCCCTGTGTCTGCTCAAGATGCTTCCATGGCCTTGGACAGGTGACACCAGAAGCTAAGTAGGGCTGGACGTGATCAGCAGATGGATGGGAAACCTCCAAGGTGGAGACTGCTGAAGGTGCTGACTCACCAAGGTGCTGAACCAAAATAGGTTTACTGCATGCTGTCACTAGGATTGAGCTTGTAAAATCAAACACACCTGGTCCCTGAAAACCCTGTGGCACCAAAGGGTTAAACCTAAGATCCTGGCTTACCTCCAGTTTGGGCCATTTTGTTGTGTCAATCCCAGTTTATCTGTACTCTCTGTGTGGAGGAAGAGCTGTTCTCCCTCTCCTGCCTAACTTGGCTAGCTGATGTCCAGCCAGGCTAGGCAGCAAGTGTGCAAAGCATCGTGGGATCCATTCAGGGTTGGCATCAGATCCGCCTGCCACTTCAGTTCCCCCTCACCTCTCCCAGTATCTTCAACAGGCCTACATGCCACCGGAGTGCTTTCACACCCCACGTTCTGGCCACACCACCTAGCTCAGCCCTTCTGGAGAACAAGCTTTCTTTCCCCCGTGTTAGCTAGCGCTTTCTGCGCTCCAAGCGCACTACTGCTGATTTCAGGCTGGGCTCGCTCAGTGCTTCAGCAAGCCATGACCCTGCTGTCTGAAGTTGAACCATCCAGAGAGAAAAAACAAAGGAACACACAATAGCCTCCTGGGGAAAGCCTGGATTAAGTGATTTTCCCAGCATCACACAGTAACTCAGTTGCAGAGGCAGGGACCAATTCCAATGCTTTAGAGCAGCATTTAACTGCCTTAGCCACGAGACCCTCCTTTCTCTCCCTGCAGTCTCATGCCTTGTTCACGCCACACCTTCCAGCTTCTGGCTGCCCCTCGAGAACAGCCTCCTTAGCTACACAATTCCCAGCTATGCTCTAAGCACCATCCAGAACATTCATATTACTCAGCGAGAACAGCCTCCTTAGCTACACAATTCCCAGCTATGCTCTAAGCACCGTCCAGAACGTTCGTATTACTCAGAAAGCCATTTTTTGTTGAAAAATGTATCATCTGGGTGTTTTCAACCAGCCCTATCCTCAAACCCCTTCCTGTTAGACACCTGTGCTTTCCCCACGCTTGCACAATGTCTCAGTGTGCTTCAAATTCCACAGCGCTACTCCCCTCAATGCGCAGATCAAAGAATGGCACATCTCACCGCTGTCCAACCTGGACCCTGACCTTTGGTTGAAGTTCAACACTCAAAACTTAGGAAACGCCAGAACTTTACTTATGTTCTCTTGTGCATATGGCTTATGACACAATTTTTAATTACAGGGTCACCTAACTTTTCTTCCAGGTTACACAAATTTGTTCAAAATTACTTCTTTTGCCACAAGATGCAGACTGAACAATGGAGGAGAAATCCAAATGTTGAATTATTATTCAGTGAGCACCATCCATTCATTGTATGCCCTGAATGAGGCAGCGGTCCTGTGGGAAAAAACAATCTGTATCTGATCATCTAAAAAGATTGTTCCATAGTACATACAAAAGCAAGGGGTTAAATTAAGGTTGTGCTGGCAACCTTAATTCTCAGAGGGGTAGCCCTGTTAGTCTGAAACTTTAAAAACAAATCGTCCTGTGGCACCTTAGGGTACATCTAAATTATATGCCTCTGCCGACAGAGGCATGTAAAATAGGCTACCCGACATAGTCAATGAAGCCGGGATTTAAATATCCCCAGCTTCATTCAAATAAAAATGGCCGCCGCATTGTGCCAGCTCAGCTGATTGTCGGCACAGCATGCGAGTTAAGATGCGGATCGGTCAACAAGGGAATCCCTGCTTCATTGACTATGCCGGGTAGTCTAATTTACATGCCTCTGTCGGTAGAGGCGTGTAGTCTAGACATGCCCTTAGAGACTAACAAAGATACAGAGTGTCATGAGCTTTTGTGGGTAAAACCCACTTCATCAGATCATCATGATGATACTATATATTTTTGTTAGTCTCTATGGCAGGGGTTGGCAACCTATGGCTCCCGTCCCGAGCCAAATATGATGGCTCTCTAGGGAACTAGATATGGCTATTCTGGAGCTCCAGCTCAGCCACCTCTTTCTCCCCCGGCAGCAGGGAGCCCTCGCAAAACTCGAATACCAGTGCAGCTTCCTGTGGGGAGGGGCAGGGGGAAGCCCTGAGGCTAAACATGGCTTGGCGTGGCAGCGTTTTCCTTCCCCCTGCATGGGGAAAACCAGGAACCAAAGATGGCTCCTTGCGCACTGACATTTCCATCCCACAGGACATACATCCTGCAGCCCCCCCCGCCAGCCCTTCCCCGAAGCTTCCAGGGAATGGGAGCAGCAGGAGGCATGTTACACAGCGCCTGCCATGCAGAGAAAAACCAAATAAGTGCCCCTCCATGCCCTGACCCCCTTCCCTTCCCACTGCCCAAAATCCCCCCCAACTCCCTGGCCAAAATCCCTCCTGCCCTCTGCTCCCTGGCCAACATCCCCTCCGCTCCCAGACCAGACACCCCCTGCTCCCAGCTAGACATCC